AAGCTTAATAACAAGGAAAAAAACTTTATTAAGCTACTACTACTATACTACTATAAAAGGAAAAAGAAAGAAAAAAAAACCACACACAAAAATCAAAATGAAAACCTTCCAAAGCATTCCTCCTCCCACCACCCAACTCCAACAAACCACAGTGAGACACAATCTGGACCCCAATCAGGTTTCCACCCTCTAGAAAATTGATTCTCAGTCCATCGAGGGAGAGAAGAGCCCCTCCTGTGCCACAGACCCCCCAAGAAACACAGCTGCCACACCCTGTGCTTCCATGTCACACATGGCACCACCCGGAGAAAAAAGTTTACCAATGGTGACTCTCTCCTTTCCATGCACAGTGCTCTCACCACCAATGCATGGATGGACAGACTGTGTTTTAGGATTTTTCCTTTCAAGGATGCCCTGCCAAGAGGGGCAAAAACAACAGTTCAGTTTTTCATTTTTGGGACCACAGTCCCCCCCATTTTCCCCTGGGGCCGAGGGTCCAAGAACAGAGATCTTCTTCTCTTCTTCTTCTCTGAAGACAGGGGGCACCACCACAAACCTCCTTAACTTTTCTCTGTTCGCTCCACTTCTGTCTTTTCCCAGCTGAAGCAGGTCTCTTTGGCTCACCGGCATCCTCCTAAAATACAGTCTCTCTTGGAGGAGAAGATTGGTTCAGTCTGTGGCTACCAAGAAAAAGTCCAGCCAAAAACCACTCCATCATCTCCTCCCACCTAGAATTTCTCCTTCTAACATCCCAGGGTCCAAGCTGTCTCTCTTCCTCTCTTTCAAACTGAGGAGGAGAAAAATTTCACAAAGTTTTAATTTCTCAAGGAAGGGTTAAAAGTCCTGACTCCCAAGGATGGCTCGCTGCCCAAGCTCCAGCTCCCACAGCCCGGCTGGGCACCTTGCGGCCTCCCCACTCTCCTCCTTCCCCGCGGTGAACTGCTGGCAAAACCATCGCTGTCTCTTTCTCTCTCTTGGGAGAGAGAGAGACTCTGGGGGGGAATGGAGACATCCCAGATTTCTCCACCCTTCCATCTGCAGGGGGCCAGCCCGGTTCCAGTCCCTCCACCCTTGGGCCTACCTCCGAAGGCCACATGGCTTTTCCCGTCCCCCACCCAGCTCGTTGCTGGGCAGGGGAGAGTCTGCACTGCACCCTGACTGGAACCAAAGAGAGCGAGTTCTCCTGGGAATTCTGCTTTTAACCCCTCTGTGTTCTCAGAGGTGTGTCCACCTTCAATTGGTCAATATCCAAATTGACCTCTTCCTTCCGAGAAAAATTCTTTTTCCGTGTCAAACCGCAACACCCACCACACTAATTAGTGCGTTAGCCAAGAAATCTCAAACTGGCGAACCAAAACCACTACATGATTGCACAGAAAAAACAGTGTAGATGAAACAATGAAAGGAACAACACAGTTCTCAAACACATTTTTATTTTTATGAAATCACAGAATGTTTTGGGTTGAAAGGGACCTTGAAGGTCATCTAGTTCCAACTTCTGGCCATGGGCAGGGACACTTTCCACTAGACCAGGTTGCTCAGAGCCCCATTCAACCTGGCTTTGAACACTTCCAGGGATGGGGCATCCCCAACTTCTCTGGGCAACCTGTGCCAAGGCCTCACCACATTCACAGTAAAGGATTTCTTCCTAATAGCTAATCTAACCCTGCCCCTCTGTCTGTATGAAGCTATTCCCCCTTGTTCTGTCACTACAGGCCTTTGTGAAAAGTCCCTCTCCAGCTCTCTTGGAGCCCCCTTTAGGCACTGAAAGGTGCTCTAAGGTCTCCCCAGAGCCATCTCTTCTCCAGGTTGAACAGCCCCAACTTTCAGCCTGTGTCCATAACAGAGGTGCTCCAGCTCTCTCATCAGGTTTGTGGCCCTTGGTCTTTGGTCAAATTGCAAAAGATTGATGAGAGAAGTTCAGACAGTTCAGCAAGTAAAGAAACATTTGACAGTAATTGAATTACCATAATTTCGACCTATGCTTTTATAATGTGCATTAGTAGTGGTTAAACATTCACAATCATCTTTATTCAACCCTTTAAACATGACCATATAAGCACATTACGCTGAATAAATCAGACTGAGAAAAAACTATACTTTTGATTATAAATAAAGTAATAACCTGCTTAATCATCTTTTTAAAATAGCCTACCAAGCCCACAACTTATTATCCAGGAAACAAGCAGAAAAGTATTCCAACTGCAACATTTGGAAGTGGCAATCAACCATAAAAAGTTTAGGTTCCTAATTTACTTAAAATTGTCATAAAATGAAAAATGGATCATCTCCTAATTAAGTTTCCAAACCCTATTTAAGCCTTACCACTGCCTACAAAAAACATGATATATCAATGAAATATGACCAAAAAATCCATCCCCTCTTCTTAGATAATCTCTAAATAGGAAAAGCCTAGAAAAGAATGAATGTAGGAAATAATTATTTGCTTCAATTTCTAGGGTGAGAATTGAAAAAATTGTATCCTTTGACTCTTGTTTTGGTCAGCTCCAGAGAAGCTGTCCTACAGCTAGATTTACACTTAAAAGTACTACCCATACTATTCTGTCAGATAGCAGAATGAAAAAAAAAAAAACAAAAACACACACACACCCCTGGCCAACAGATCATGCATGTAAGAATACTAATACAGATAAGTGATAATGGCATAGAAGTCCTTTTGGCAGAAAAAGTTTGTCCATATCAAGAAAATTTTAGTTATTCCAGAGTTGCACCAATATACACAACTCCCTCATATGGGTGAAATAAAGTATTTGTTGTAACCAGGTACAACTTTTCAACAACTACAAGATTTGATTTATGCTGCTTAAAGCTACCCCATTTAATAATTATTTGCAAATTTTAGTGCAACAAACTGATAGAAACTGTGCGTACATTCCTGTGATTCTAAAATGAAAGTTTCAAATATCAACCAAAACCAATCTTCTCTTTACCCACAAATTTAGAAAGACATATACTAGTCATTATTGTTTGTTAATTTGTATTGTCAACTTCTTTTCATTCATCTAACTCCAGGTAAATTTAAACTCATTTTAGATGCTCTGATAAATATCACATTTTGTTTAAAACTGTTGCTGCTTGCTGCAGTTTCAAATAAGTAACATGTGTTTCATACATTCCACCTAGGCAATTACTTAATTGACCCTGCATAGATGAAAATATTCCTGTGATTAATATTATGGTGTTATATTTTTGAAAGCTAGCTAACAGTAATTTTCAGTGACAAAGTGTCCAAAAGAGCTACATAAAATTGAGAGCATCATTTTTTATTTTTTTTTTTAATAGTCACCTAATATTTATACTGGCAACATATCTTCAGTTCTGAAAGTTTTGAGACGTTTGAACACAAAAGCAACCTGGCAATTTCAATTTTCTTCTTCTAGCTGCAATAATTTAAATAAAAATAATCTCCAGAGAAATACTATGTATATGAAGAACAGACATTTTATCTATATAATTAAAAATATTTATTTTGAACAAAAAGATGAAAAGTTGCCAACTCATGCTAAAATACACACACAAAGGGAAGAGACTGAGCAAATATTGCACAACAGCTCTCTTGAAACAGAGTATCCAACTGTATGCCAAGCAGAAGAGTAGCACCATGTAAACATGTGAATGGAATTCCAAGTGGAAACAGGACAAGTTTCATTATCACTCATATCACATAAGTGCATAAGAGAATGTGTCTTATTAGAGTGAGCATCTTCACAGTAATAACTCTGGACACAGCCACATGTTGCAAAAGAACTTGAAAAGAAAGGAATCTTCCTCACAACCATTTCTCAAAAATCTACAAGTAACATCAGCAATTAAAAAGATAAAATTAAATTGTTTTTGATGAATTCTTTTTAACACATATTTTTATATCCCAGAATTTTCAAACCATGGTACAGCATTACAGAGAGACCAATCTCAGCTATATATAGAACTTACAAAACCTAAAACAATTATACTGACTGGCTTAAGAAGTGGTTTATTTTGGTTGACCTGAAGCATTTTAATAGACTCACAATTAACAAGGGTGCCTGCACCAGTCAGTTAAAAAAAAAATTAAATCAAACATGTCAAAGCTTATGCAACACTTCCCAAGAAGTGCTAAGAAAACAGTAAGTGAAAGATAATGAATACTGTACCAGTATGGGTATACTCAAAATGACAAAACCTAGCTATGTATAATGGAAAGTACTTACAAGAACACTTACTTTAATGTTTCAAACCAGCTACAGTCACAACGAAAACAAGTTTCATTTCATGCAAGGATCAATAATCCAAATTTTAAATTTTTCCTCCATGTATAACTATCCAATTAAAATATAAATATTTGCACAGAAATTGCTGACAAATTATGTTTCTAAAACAGACTGGAAAGTGTAGTTTCTCTAGTTGACTGCTGTTCAGACTGTACCTTCTGTCATGCAGATAGAACTAAGTTGTCAGTACAGAAGTATAAAGTTCCGGGACGCAGTTTTGCTTTGACATGAAAGAACTGTGTAAACTGTTACAGTTAACGCCGTTCCCCCAAACATCTGTATTGTATGGGAGACAACGAAGAGAGATCAGACTGCAGTAGAAGCCCCATCTACGCACCAGTGGCTGCAAGTGTTAAGACCCCCCAGCGAATGCTGTCCTCCTCGTATCTACACATCCCTTGGACTAGCAAACCCTCTTCCCCATCGTTTCTCCCTAATGAGCCCCTGAGCACTGCGCGGGGCAGGGCGCTTCCCCCACGGCCCAGCCCGGCCGAGGAGAGGCTAGGCGCGGCAGGCGAAGGAGGCAGAGAAGGCCGCGGAGAGAACAGCAACCCCCATCCCTCCACCGCACTCCCCGCGGCAAGGCCCAAGCCCAGTCCCCAGGGTGACGTAAGAGTCTAAGTTGCTCCTGCGAAAAGTACGCCGGCTGCTCTGCACTGCGCTGAACCGCAGCGTGCCCTTTCTGTCCGATTCGCGACACGGAGGAACGGGCTCGCGGCACTTCCCTACCCAGAAGCTCTCCACGAAGTACGCCATCATCGCGCCGCCGCCACAGCCCTGAGCGAACCCAGCCTCAGCCGCCGAGACGCAACAGAGAAACAGGCGCCGCCACGGCGCACCACCCTTCCCGTTACGATGGAACCGCCTCCTTCCACACTGTTTCGCGACCCCCAGTCACGCGCATGTGCTCAGCTGCCGTCAGGCGCCACAGCTCCTGCGCAGGCGTGTCGCATTCCCCTGGGTGAAGGAACGGCTACCGCATACCCAGAGCATTGGCCCTACTGCAGTTTAGAAGTGAAGAAACTCTAATGTCTATAGAAGTATGAATATAATTGCATAAGGCACACAGAAATCTTGAGTTAAAATCCCTCTAAGATATTCAGTTACCACTAAGGAGTGACTATACAGAAGGCTACAATGCATCTGAATTATTTGACACCCAGGAGAATAGATTCATGCTGTTTGAAGTGATTTCATAACCAAGCATCTTTCCATCGACATATTGTTGGGAAAATCTTTAATTGTAACAAATAGCGTTTAAGTCTTGTGAATTCTTTTAGCTTTAACTGACAGTGCTTAATCCTGTATTAATATGTGCAAGTGGTTATCTTAGCCCTAAAGACTGTGGGTCTGAGCAATGCCAATAAGAAGGTATATCTTGGCCAGACCACATTGCCAGGATGCATTCAAATAAACATTTTTGTAGGCCTGTAACTGGGAAAGGATAATTTGAGGAATGGGATGTTCCCCAAATGACCAACAGACACCCTCAAAAGACCCCCTACTCTAATGCAAATAAGCTCTGAGAAGTGATTTAAATATGCAATAGTGGGAATGTTTAGCATATATGTATGAGTTTCAGAAAATGTAATGAATATGCATTAGTTACATAGATATAAACTAGTCTGTTAGATAGCTGTAGTATGTGTGATAGGAGGAGAGATCCCCTGCATGTCTGATGCCAAAGTAAAGGAATTATGCTTTCTAATACTGAAATTAGAGTGTTAGAGAGTTTTATTCCCAACTTTCAATTACAATATGATAAGATCTTTCAAGGCATTTGATGACTACTAGGCACTTTATTAACAAAATGTAGCTTACCCTCTCCAGTACCTACTCTTTCAGTATTTTACAGTTTCAGTGACAGGGTCCTAAAAAGTATACACTTCATCTAAAGTCACTCTGAAGAAACTGTTTACTTCAAACCTTTATCTGCTTCAATGATAGTTCAGTTTTCCAGACTCTTCTTTTGCTTGATGTAGATTATTAGCCACTTTGGATCATATTGATTCCTGGAATACAGATCCATTGAATTGCTGTCTGCGGCCAGTCTGTACTTGGACTGCTGCTTTTCAGTAAGAATATCTTTAGATATTCTTCATAAGAGAGTCAGCACTACCGGTCTCTTTCTGAGATACCAAAAACTTTGTTATTCTACCTTAAGAAGATAATTCAATGTTCAAGACAGCAGTCGTTTTTCATAATTAACTAAAAATAGCAGTCCAGATCTAAGTAATGATGTAAGGGGCTGCAGCTCACAGTCCTAGGCACACCAGTGGTTAAGTGCTTTATCAAAATTTTATTTATGATTTTGTCAACACAAAGGTTTATCCAAGACTGAAAAAAAATTAAGAATCTCATATTCTATGTTGGGTTCCCCATCAAGGGAAATTCTATCAGTTCTGGTTTGAGAATCTCCCCTACCTCCCATCTTAACACTGATGTCTGCCCTTTGTGCTGCAAGATATTACGTAAGGCATATAGCAGAACATTAAAGTCATCCCGAAGAACCTGACAAATCCACAACTTATGTCAAATTTATGTTACTTAAAAACTTCCATGAAAGTCAAGTGGTTAGGAAAAATGAAGTTCAAAAGTTTACAGAAATATACACATTCATCAGGCAAAAAAATATTAGGGTAAACTTACGACAGCCAAATCAGTATTAGTGATATAAGTCAGTATGACTCATTCTACATTATGAAATTTCAACTATCATTACCAAAGATACGTTCATGAAAGATGAACAATATCATTCTTATTCGGTATAACAATCACTGGTAACTGGGTATACCTTCAGTACACCACTTCCTGTAGCTCCATGGTAACTTTAGGAGTTCCTTTCTTTCTAGGAACATTCTCCCAAAGTTTCAGTATATTCAAAGTTTGCTAAGTTGCCAATGCCAAAACAGAAAAAACTTCTGGACTCCTTTCATGGTTAAAGCTTCTTTAAAAGACTCAAGACCTAGATCTGGATCTCTGTCTTTTGATAATAGGAGTAAGCATGTGTATTTTAAACAATAACAACATGCTGTAGGACTACATTTTTAAAAAAAAGTACAGTATGTATCTGTTTGCTTGACATAAGTAAGCAGCCTGTATTATAATTATCTTAGCCTCATGGAAGACATTACTATAGTACTTTTTGCAGTCTGTCTTGGTATCTGTAAAGATATACACCAGGGCAAACAATGAGACAAAAGCTGCATGATCAGAGCTGAAGCTTTGGGATTGTTTTCCCAAATACCTTTTACATGGACAGATAGTATGCGATGAAGGAAGGAGAGTCAGATTCACTTCTACATTTCAGAGAGAAGTCCACATCTTCCACATTTTCAAAGGTATACAGCAATCCTTTACCTACTGCTACATCAAGATGTGCAGCACTGAGGTGAGGCTGACTGACCTGTAGTTCCCTGGGAGTTTCTTATGTCCCTTTTTAAAAATGAGGTTTATGTGTCCCCTTTTCCAGTCAGGGGAAACTTCACTGGACTGCCATGACTTCTTAAATATCTTTAATATGATGGATATCCTTGGCCAGTTCCCTCAGGACCAGTGGATGTATCTTGTCAGGTCCCATGGACTTGTGCACCTTCAGGTACCCTAAATGGTTTCAAACCTGGTCTCAAGTCCCTGCTTTCATCTTCTGCAACTTGAACAGTGTATCTGGAACACTTGTTGATGAAGACTGAGGCAAAAATGTTGCCGAGTACCTCAGCCTTCTCCATGTCCTGGGTAACCAAGTCTCCCATATCCTTCCTGAGAGGACCCACATTTCCCCCAGTTTTTCCTTTATCTCTGATGTACCTAAAGAAGCTTTTTTGTTACTCTTGATGTCCTTGGCCAGGTTTAATTCTATCAGGGCTTTAGCTATCCTAACCTGATCCCTGACTGTTTGGACAATCTCTCTGTATTCCTCCCAGGCTACCTTTCCCTGCTTCCACCCTCTGTAAGCTACCTGTTTGTGTTTAAGTTTGTCCAGGAGCTCCTTGTTCATCCACACATGTGTTCTTCCCTGATTTCCTCTGTTGGAATACATTGCTCTTGAGTCTGGAGGAGACAATCCTTAAATATCATCCAGCTCTCTTGGGCCCTTCTTCCCTCCAGGGCTCTATCCCACAGCACTCTATCAAGCAGATCCCTGAAGAGGCCAAAGTCAGCTCTCCTGAAATCCAGGACAGTGAGCTTGTTGTGCACCCTCCTTGCTGCCTCAAGGGTCTTGAACTCCACCATTCCATGGTCACTGCAGCCAAGGCTGCCCTTGAGCTTCACATTCCCCACCGCCCCCTCCTTGTTGGTGAGAACAAGGTCCAGCATAGCACCTCTACTCATGGACTCCTCTTTCACTTGGAGAAGGAAGTTGTCATCAGCACATTCCAGGAACCTTATGGATTGCCTGTGCCCTGCTGTATCATCCCTCCAACAGATGTCAGGGTGGTTGAAGTCCCCCATGAGGACCAGGGCTTGTGAATGTGAGACCACTCCTATCTATCTGCAGAACTCTCATCAGCTCAGTCTTCCTGGTTGAGTGGCCTTTAGCAGACCCCCACTATAATGTCACCTGTCCTTGCCCTCCCTTTAATCCTGACTCACAAGCTCTCAGTCAACTCCTCATCCATCCCCAAGCAGAGCTCCATGTACTCTAGATGGTCACTGACATAGAGGGCAACACACCCTCCTCATCTCCCCTGGGCTATCCTTCCTAAAGAGCCTGTATCCTTCCATTCCAGCACTCCAGTCATAGGAATCATCCCACCATGTCTCTGTGATGCCAATAAGATTATAGTCTTTCTCCTCCTGTTTGTTCCCTATGCTGCGTGCATTGGCATAGAGGCATTTATGTTGGGCCCCAGATGAAGCTTTCTGTCTTGGGTGGATGGAATTCCTTTGTGCTGCCCTTCAGGTTCTCTCCTGCTGACCTTTGATCCTTCTTCAGGCTCCAGGCATCTCCTGCTGGCTCCAGCATCCATCTACTATGAGTGAGATGGCATGCCATCCCACACCTTATCACTGTTAAACCTGATGATGTTCCCCTTCCCCATCAATCTAGTTTAAAGCCCTGTCAATAAGCTCCGCTAGCTCTTGACCCAAGATCCTCTTCCTCCTTTGAGAAAGATTAATCTCATTGGAATCCAGCAAGCCTGCACCTAGAAGAACAGAGGAAAAAATAACCTGTGCTCCTACTTCCCTCACTAACCATCCCAAGGGCTTAAAGTCTCTTTTGATCACCCTTGAATTATGCTTTGTGACTTCATTGCCACTCACATGGAAGATAAGCAATGAATAGTAGTCCAAAGACCGAACCAGGCTAGGAAGTTTCATGGACTTCCTTTTTCTCTTAGTAACATTTGAATATTAAACTGAGAAATTCAAATGGACATATGCAGAATCCAGCAGTTTATTGCTTACTGCATATGCTGCTAGTAAATAATGATCGTGTATCTACTGTTTAATGATTATTTTTATTTCCCTCCCCCCTCTCATTTGTAGATTCTTCATGGATTTAAAAATCAAGTCGGGGATGAGAATTGGAGGCGTTTCTCTGACCAGTTTCCTCTTCCCTTAAAAGAGCGCCTTGCAGCTTACTATGGAGTTTAGCCTTATGCATTGTGGCTGCAGTCCCACAATTAGAGGTAAGTACACAAATCTTCCTTGCTTAACAGAGCTGTATAACAAGTCTTCCTCCCTGTTTATATTATATGAAGCATAACTAATTCACTAGAATACAATTTTACTGATATGTTGGAACAGCTACCTTTCCATACACAAGATAAGGTTGGAAATGCAGGTGTAACAAAGTGCCTGTTTAATAAGCAAAATTATTATTATAATCCTCAAGCCATCATGCTAAAGTAGCAGGCTCCCTTATGACTTATGAATTAGTA